CGTAGTCTCTGAAAGGGGATATCTCCTTTCCACTTTGTGGCCTGCCATTGGCCCCAGTGGATGCTCAGTGACCAACAAGACCCCTTATTCTAAAACAATCAGGACAAGGTTCATGGTTGCCTACCAGGCAGAGGCAGGATTTTACACATGAAAAAGTGCTAAGGCATTTACGTTGTTATCTCTAGATATTTTAACTCATACTTTAAAATCACTCAATAAATTCGTGGGTATTTGATCATTGTATAATCGAAACCCAAGCACAAAAATTTGTAAGTCTACATCTGTACCTCACGGTGTTTCACTAATAAAAAAAATTCATGGGGGAAATTCAGAAGGAAAGGATGGTGGCCTCTTTAGAACTGTCAGTGTGGGAAAATAAAGAAACACACAGGGATGACCTTGTAGGTTTGGTGGAATTCAATCTGATTTTCTATTTTATTGCTAAAGCTTCAATTAATACCCCCTTCAAAATGCGGATGGTTAGGTGTGTTGCCAAGATGTCAATATGGGCACATCAGTTGTCACAGATGCACCATTCTTCTCAGTGTATCTGGAAGGACGCGGCACACTCAATAGACAGCGATTGGAGGTAAATCCAATAAGAAGTTAATTGTTAAGTGCAATAAAACTTAAAGTATATAACTATGATGCTATTACAGTTATTATAGTTAGTGGAATTCCCCCCCCCCCCCCCTTTTAGGCAGGGGGCACACCTGGCAGTGCTCAGAGCTTATTCCTGGCCCCATGCTCAGGAATCACTCCTGGCAGTGCTCAAGGGACCATATAGGATGCCAGGGATGGAATCCCGATTGGCTGCATGCAAGGTAAGCACCCTACCCAGTGTACTATTGCACTGGTCCAGCTGGAATTTTCTCGTTAACTCTTTCTTGTTTTCATCATCGTTCAAAGTAAGGCTACCATACAGTTTGCTACCATAGTAAGTACAGTCAGAAGAGAAGTAATCTTTTATTTGATGAAGTTTTTTTACGGCTCAAAGTCACAAGGACAATGCCAGTCTTGCTGATTATGTAGAAATGTGGACGAGAAGAAAGTAGGGAGAGGCACAAAGTTTCCTGGTATCAACCCTCCTGTTAGCCTCTCCTTCCCCCAAATGCAGCTTTTTAAAAGCATTAATTTCTTGTATTCTAGCTTATAAATTTGGCCACTATTTTAGAAAGACATACTGCTAACATATTAGTTACATTATTAAATATTTAAAAATTGATGTGAACTTGGAAATCATATCACTAAGGAGAGAAGGATCCCCTTTGCTTTTATCCAACTTTGTGACTCAGATACTTCTTTCCTTCAATAGGTTGGATTTATGATGGATTTATAGAGCATATAGTAGAGAAATCAATTGCTCTCTCTTTTACCCTCTATACGTCATCTCCAGAAAACTCTGTGTAAGTAGTTCCAAGAAAATTATGACTATTAAAAGAAACATTATTCTCAAAAAATTAGAAAAAAACCCTCTGAAGTGTTAACTAACTTGTTGAACAGATATAAAGGCTGCAATGAATGACATTAGCAACCTAAAACTGCCAATAATATTGCATTCTGGCAGTGCTCAGATCTTATTCCTAATTATTATTCGAATACAGTAGAATCAATGCATTCTAAAAAGTAACAATATTTTTACATGCAGTTGTTATTATTAAATCTGTAGCTTATTGATTATCAACAGTAAAAATGTTTTATCATTTTATAACCGCAAACTTCCACCTGATAAGTTTCCAAATTAAGGAGAAAATTATGTAGAATAAACTACCATAGAGCCAACTAAATAAAAAATTTCATTATGAAACTTTAACTTGTAAGCAAGTATGAGGCCATGAAAGGACAGTGGAATTTCCTAGAATAATCAGAGTCTGGGATTCATTTGTATCTCTGAGTAGTCACTTAGGGAACCACATCAGAGGCTAGAATTTATTTTCCTAATTAGAGAAAAGGACTGGTGTGAGACATTTTGCCAACGGATGAGACACTTACCGATATGAGTAAGTGCAGCAGCATAAGAATCTGATAAAGAATAAGGAAAATAAAAGCCATAAATAATGCAAAGGTTATCAGTTAAAAGGATGCAAGCAAGTGTTCTCGCCACCACCTGTAACTGATCTGTGTTGGAGGAAAAAATAAAAATGCTAATAAGGACCGTGATGAAAGGTGGGCCTGTGGTTATAAATTGCTTTTTTAATGGTGATGATAGTAGCTGACATAGGGAATAATAAGAAGATGAGAATGTCAGTATCAATTTTTATTAGTGTCATGAACAATGTACAGTATATTTAAATTTGCTTCGTTTGAATTAGTATTTTTGTAACTGGAGGCGTCACTACCAATGACATGTTCAATGCATTCTAAAAAGAAAAGCTAAATAAAGTTGCCAGTGCTCACTACCAAATAGCCACAACTTTTACATGGGGAAAACACATCACATTTTCTAAGATGCTCAGAATCCATGTGCATAACAAATTCTGGCTTTCATATCACAAAAAATCTGCTAAGTAAATCGGAAGACCAATTGAAGTGACTAGATAAAGTTGAATTAAAATTAAAAGGACACTTAATATATAACCTCCCACGTAATGAGAACTTTCCCCAAAGTTTATTTGGGAAGATCATGAGGGCCGAAAGCTGAGTTGACTTAAATAATTTTAAAACTTTTGGAATTGATTCAACACAAACATGATTGTTCTGTTGAAAATGGTTCATTATAAAATGAACCACAATCAGTAATTTTTATAAGCTGGCTTCGATTAGAGAAAAATAGTTAAATTTGTTTTGTGTTGGAATTTTCCCAGCAATTATCATCAGCTTTCTACATTGTGCTAATAAGATAAAATTGAATATATAATCAAGAATAAATTTAAGAGTCTGGAGAAAAGAAATTGTATTTTAATTACCATATATTATTTGTTCGAATTTCAAAACACTAGGTTTTTGAGAAAGAAACTCAAAGGGTTAAAATGGAGAATTTTAAAATTTAGCAGCTGAATACATAAAAACCTTTATAAACTAATTCTATATATTTAATATTTTTTGTGAGGAAAAGCACAGGATAATGGCTAAGAAGCTAATCTCTGAGTCAAAAGTATAGAGTACTTACTTGTTATGCAATCCTGGGCCATCTCATAAGCTATTTTCACTTATTTCATACACAGGCTAATCTTAGTTTCTATCTCGTAAGGGTCATTGTGGAGAGTCAATGGGAGAACAGAGTGTTGGAGTCTCTGGTACAATACCACCTCTGCAATATTAATTTTTTTTTTGCGATTGTTACTGCTAATAAACTTCCTAACTAGAAATTTCTATGGCTTTCTCCACTGATGTCTTTATTTTTCTCTAGACACTATAATACTCATCATCATAGTGTGAAGTTTCTCTATCTTTTAGAGTTATTTTTCAAGACATCATTCCAAATAGCCCACTTGGAATAACTTGGTTCTCTGAAAACGTCCTCACACAGTGACTTCAATAGGTGCCAAGACTCCTGAGCTCAGAGGCGCTTGTTTGTGCTTTTGACAACTCTGAGACATCTCCCTGGTGTGGTTAATATCATGTTCTTCAAGCCTTTGATATTTTAAACTTCCTTTGATCATTCATTCTTTCTTTTTTTGTTGAGGGAGGAGCAGTCATGCCTGGCGCCCCTTGATGACTCAGTGCTCAGGGGACCCTGATCCAACCACAGATCCAACCAAGGGCGGGCTCATGCCCAGAAGGGCTCCATTCCGCTGGCCCAGTTATCATGGCCCTCTTGATCATTCTTAAGGGAATGTAAAATCTCCAAAAAGTAGGAATTTATAATGAGAGCAGATTTCTTAAAGCAGGAATTTAGTGAGCCAGACAATTCAGTTATTTAATTCCATCTCAACATGGGGTATACCATATGCTTCGCTCCTATAAAAATATTCCAAGATGTGAAATTCTCACAGATGAAACTGACAATGGACCTAGGGCCTAAGATTCCCCAATAATGAACTTCCATGAAGAAAAGCACAGAAACAAATACTCAATGAAAACTATAAAAATGTATATTCAACTCTGGTGCACACCTATTCCACTAACTAGGTGAACCAGAACTATTGGCAAAACAGATCCAACGAAACACACGAAATCGCTAAGCTAATCATTGCTTCAGAAAATCACAGAGCACCATGGTCTGGAAAAATAACATGAGAAATTTCAAGAGACTGGTGCTCACTGTCCAGTTTGCAGTCATTTCCCTGAAGACATTCTACAGACCATTGCTGTTCACAGAAAGGTGGATTAAATAGTGGATTTAAGATTTCATGGTTTACCATAGCACATGTGGAGGAAAGGGCTCATCTTGGACCTGATACAACTTCTCTATAAATATCCTGGGGTGTGGAGAGAGAGTACAGGGGCTAAGGAGTATGTGTGTATTTTTCTTGTATGTGTTTGACCCTGGTTTGAACACTAATTGAAAGAAAATAGAATTGGAATTTATTCTGCAAAATGTATTATTTATCCAAAATGTTTAGAATACTGTCTGAGATACATTCTGGATATATGGAGCCCACCCCAACCCCAACCCCAGCCATCACATTGCCTTCAATGTTATGTTGTTACTTGATAGGATTATACAATTATTTAATACGAAGAAAATAGAGAATACAAGACTTAGGTTATCTATTAACCAGGTTTACAGACAATAGCTCAAATCTTCACCTATTATTAGTGCAAAAACAAACCATGTCAAACAGGTACATATGCATGTTTCATGGGGAAAATGGGGTAACCCAATTCAGCAAAATGTTATTTGTTAACAAAATATAATGTTACAATGATTTTAATCAATTATTAGTAGTATCTGTATTCCCTTTCTCCGCTTCTTTCATGCAGATAAAGATTATGTGATGTAACTACATTAATTTATTATTCATATTAAAACAAGGATGCTGCAGCTTGAAAAGTACAAAATATTGAAATAATAAAGCTAATAATTACTAAATAAAACTCATTGAGACAAATCTTACCTGAGCTCCTGGATTAGAGAATCCATGGGCACTGTTGGGGAAAAAAATAAAGGAATAGAAAGGGAGGGAAGAAAATGGAAGGGAAGCAAAAGAAGGGAAGGAAAGAAAGAAAAAAGAATTCATTTAGAATGGTGAGCACTGCATGGCTGTCAACTTTTCACCCAGCTAGAGATAATGATTAAAAAAAATGCTTAGCACAGACTCTACTTAATCAATTAAGTAATTAATACTGGGAATCATGGGACTTTGGTCTTTTACTTTTCTAGTTCTTTGAAGACTAGGATAATTGACATTTAGCCCCCCAAAAAATGACTCTTTATTTAGGGTCTTATGATCCGGACATTTTGTTATCATAAATTTAAATTTCCAAAAACCTATCTTTGAGATTCATTACAAAATTACAAGAGATGGGGTTGGAGTGAGTACAGAGGATAGGGCACTTTACTTAATGCAGCTGAGCTAAGTTCAATCCCAGACACAAAATATGTTTTCCTGAGCCCACTAGAAGTGACCCATGAGCATGAACCAGAACTAAACCCTCAGTACCAGTTGGTGTGGTAAAAAAAATATCAGAGCATAAAAGAGCTGGTAAAGGTAAAGATAAAGGCCCTCCCGTTGTTCATCAATTTGCTCGAGCGGGCCCAGTAACGTCTCCATTGGAGACTTTGTTGTTACTGTGTCTGGCATATCGAATACGTCACGGGGAGCTTGCCAGGCTCTGCCCTGTGGGCGAGATACTCTCGGTAGCTTGCCGGGCTCTCCGAGAGGGGCGGATTTTAAATCAATGTTTAAATTTACAAAAAATTTTCATAATTATTCTAAACCTATGACTCATTGACATTCAACTGATCCAAGTTTTTTGGAAAACAATATGGACACGACTCAAAAAACTAGAAGTTGTGAGTTTCCATATGACCAAGCAATTACCCTTAACGGCATCTACCAAGGGCTTAAGAACAATGCAGAAAAGACATTTGCATCCTTATGTTCATTGCACCGCTATTCACAATAGCCCAAATCTGGAAATAACCCAAGTGTCCGAGAACAGATGACTGTACAAAGAAGCTATGACACATGCACATAATGGAATACGACTCGGCTGAAATCGAAGATTACACTTTGCTGTCGTGTGGATGGATCTGCAGAGTATCGTGCTAGCAAAGTTAGTTAGAAGGAGGGGAGCAGACGCAGAATGATCTCCCTCATATGTGGAGTATTAAGGATCTTCGTAGGGGAATAATAAGTGCTTCGAGGCAATAGAACTGATAAGTAGTCTTCAGAAGGAGGTTTATCACAGGAAGGGAGAGAGGAAGAGGAACACTGGGACAACGGTGGAGGAAAGTGAACATTCAGGGGGTGTGACTCTGGAATATTCCATGCATGAAGCCCTACTAATAATTTTGCGAGCCACCATGCCAAAATCATATACATTTAAAAAAAATAAGTTATTGACATTAAACACGTATTTAAGTAAAATGGGAGAGTAGATTAAATGATTTGTGTCCATGATTTTATTCCACAAGTTTTCTATATACAGAGAGAAAAGAATAAGTTTTAGTTATGTTATTGTCAACACTCTTAAAATTCAGAAAAGGAGGAAAAAAAAGAGCTTTGATTTTTCTGACTGAAATGGTGGGAACTAAAGAAGTTCATGTTTATAAATACCTTGCCTACACAGGGTAAACAGCATATTGGGGGACAACAGGTGGTTTTAAAGATTACTCATGCGACTGGAGAAACAGTTGCTTCATTTCTTGCAGAACATTTTCGCTCTATTTGAGGATATGTCTGCTTGTGCCAAAATAATCCAAAGCCCAAAAAGAATTGCAAATTAAAAGCCCCACACTTGAAAGTATGCTAGAGCAATGTGCTTTTTAGAAGTCAAAACAAGAGAGTCAAATGATCCAAAAATAGTCCCTAGAATGCCCCCCGTGAGCTTATTCTAAATAATCCTACAAACTTAGTTTGTTCTTTTTTGTTGTTGTTGTTTATTTGTTTCTCATTGCTTTTATTTTTTTTAATTTTTATTAGTGAAGCACCATGAGGTACAGTTGTAGACTTCCAAATTTTTGTGCTTGGGTTTCAATTATACAATGATCAAACGCCCATCCCTCCACCAGTGCCCATTTTCTACCACCATGGGTCCCAGTATCTCTCCCACTCCCCCATCCCCCATCCCACCCTGCCTCTGTGGCAGGGCATTCCCTATTGTTCTCTCTCCTTTTGGGTGCTGTGGCTTGCAAAAGAGGCATTGAGTGGCAATCATGTTTGGCCTATGGTCTACTTGTATTCTACTAAGAAAGTTACTGCTTAAGAGTCGGGATGCGGTTCAATGAAACAGTTTTTGCCTGCATGTGTGAGACCCTGGGTTTGATCCCTGGCACCACCATACACAAAATGCCCGCATAAAAATTTAATATTTAGAGATACCACACTCCAAATCTTAGGATATATGTTGTGATTTACTTTAAAAACTTATGCTAAAACTGAAAGATAATAACATAAAATTAATGTTTGGCTAGAGAATGGCCCTTTTCTTATCTTGGGCAGCATGATTGTGCTTTTTGGCTATCATGTCTAATGGTTACATTTTAAGTGAAAAATACAAACCAACCTGGAATTCATTAGTTATTGGGGGTTTATGGAATTTATTCAAGCAGGAACCATTTGCCTTGACTACATATGTAAACTCAGCCAACGAAAGCATCCCATTTGGTGAACCAGTTTCCACACTAAATCTCAAAGCACTTCCAGACAACTGCTAGTTCCTATCTCACTCAGCATCCTCAGCGAGGCTGGGAAAATCTCGGGCGAGGAACAGCTATCCAGAGTGTTCTCAGAGGCCATGGTGAGTGTGCAGTTTTCCGTTTCGGATTAAGGGTCACAAAAATATAGCTAATTATAATAAAAGTTATTTTCCTTAAGGGGTATTATTGCCAGTCAATCCTGTTTTCCAGATGTTTAGATCATCAAGGGCCTGTTTATATTTCAATATTACATTACCATCTGTTGGTTACAAAAAGAGAGGGATAACAGGCAAGTTAAACCTTTCAAACATTACTTCGCAAAGCTGCTGGAAATTCCCAGCAGGGAGAGTCAAAACACAAACATCATCATTTTACTTGAACTAAGTTTAGATTGGGAACCACTAAACCAGATAACATAAAAAATCAAATCTTGCTTTGGCAATCAACTAATACTTCAGTCTTTTCCCTGGGCCATTAAAGGTCACTTTAGTCATTTGAATGTCTCTACAAAGACTTCTTCTCTTGCTGACCTTTATGATGTTTTGCACAATATTCAAAACTCCTTATGATTAAATACTGACAAAAGATGCTATCATACATAATTTTGGATTTTGTGAGTGCCTCAGTGTTGGTCAATGTATATCAATGCCACAAATGAGTGTACTAGCTTGATTTGTTTTAAACGAAACAAAACAGAAGCCCCAAGGATATTCTAATCACTTCCTCTACACATCAGAGATGTCCTGGGCACAGTTCTGTGGATGGCACTTGCTAACTCACCCTTGGTTCCTTTAGAACGGGTCCGTAGTGTTTTGTCTTCAGCCTCTGCATCCATCTATAATGTGACCACAAAGTTCAGATTTTATTCCTTTGACAGTGACCAAAGTGCAGAAACATGACATTAGAAATTTGAAAAGTCATTATGAAGAAATGTCCCAAGTTCTCAAATATGACTCTGCCCCCACCGGCGTAGAACCACTCTCTACCTCCCTTGAACTTCATGAGTTTTGGAAATACTCATATAGATGCTGAAACCGAATGAAAAAGAGATGAGAAGGTGATGGGTTTGTCCATTAGAATTTTCCAGAGATAAAACATGCCTTGTATTGCAAAGACAGAAAAAAGTATGTTCTGACTAATGGTGGTTATGAAGAAGACAAAGTGACAAACCAAGTTTGAGAGTGACTTACTAAAACTTCATGCATCTGCATTACTAGACCACTTGTGCTATATGTTTCTTTCTAAACCAGAAAAACAATTGTCCATGTAGAAAAGCAATCTTAAGGAAAACTCTTGAAATTCCCCCATTAATAAAATAATTGGAAATGTGAATAGCCCACAAAGACATACATTAATTTCCAGAATTCCTGAATAAACATAGGTTATGATCATTCAAATGTACAAGCAAGGAGAAGCTTGAGTGTTTTACATCAAAAGGCCCAAAATATCATGACTAAATATTTTAAGTGTAACCAAATAAATCATCCAAAGAACGTTGACTTCACAAGTCTGTTGTTTTTGCCTGGATGAAGATGAATTCTGACCTGACTGGGTCTGTCTGTTCCACGGAATGCTGTAATCATTTCTGAGTGTAATTCATTTCTGCACGATATCAGGAGGAATTCTTAAATAGCAGGAAGTTGTTTTGCTTGTTGAAAATCAGAGGCAGGCGGAGGCTTTCTCTATGGCTCCCGTCCTTACAGCCTGACAGAGATATGGTGTGACTGCAATGGTAATAGGAGATGGATCTCTGCTCTCGGAGGCTGAGTTGTGATTGAAGGCACTGACCTGCCATAGACTTATAATAGGGGAGCAGGTGTGGCAATGATGGACTTTAATTTCCTTTAATAAACCTTTTATGTGCCACACTTTTACTGCCATTCGACGCTCTCCAAGGTCCTGCACATAATAGGTTCATTACTTTTGATTACTATAGTCTATTGAGACAAACAACTCCAGAACACACTATATATTATGTTCAGTTAAACCAATATAGACTATTTATCCATTGTGCATTTTTTCACCTGCAACACTACAGATGAAATTAACGACAGCTCTCGGAAGCTAAAACTATTAGAACCACCAGTACTCTTTTGTCATCAGTTCATAATAAACAACGCACCAATCACTGAACTGTTTTTTTTTTTAAATAAAGTGTTTGGTGCTTTTACTGTACAATAGTTGCTTTAGTATAAATAAATGGTTCATTGTTATGAATATTTTAAAACTGAAAAAAATAAGAGGAAACAACAGTAAACAGAAGTGGCTTTTTTTTCTGTAGATTTTCCTTCTTTTAAATGAATTTATGGCAGCTGTGACACGTCCAGGATTAAAATGGGCTGGTTTCCTCAGGACGGTGAGCACTGCATCATGAAAACCTCCTCTGTCAGTTTCTCTGTGACACATTATGTAGCTCAGTTGACACAAACTTCCTCCATGTGGTATACAAAAGCTGCATGAGGGTGGAAGGATGGAAACCCACAGTCTTTTTCCGAAGAAGCTCTTCCTGCAGGTGAGTTCGACTAAACAGAAGCCTGATACTACCCTCACACATGATGTTCTTACCACATTAGTCACTTTGTAAAACTTCTTCCAAAGACTCATGAAGGTTAAACTGTGAGTTTCTTTACCAATACAGAAACCCAGATTGCCAAGAGTGCCAGCAAACATATTCAAAGATTCAGAAATCTTCTTACAAGAAACCTTGTTTATAACAGCTTTAAGATTAATTTTGTTTGGAAATTTAGCTATTCAGTGACCTAAACATTCTGTTGCTATCCTATGAGACTATGAGATCTCCCCTTTAAAGTGAGTTACTGGGAGGAATTCATAAATATCCATGGCTCTCCTCTCGACTGTGCTTAGAATTCTTAGATTTTGCCCTCTTGTTGGTGCCATGGATATGTCCTATAGAAGAATAGTTTTAATCATGTAACTCATTTACAAAACTTAGTTTTCAGATTTCACTTGTGAACCAAGTTTTAGAGAGAAAGAGCTCAAGTTCATGATATACATCCTCTCTATTTCACCGTTCTCTACCCCTGAAGAACAACAAAACTTAACAAGTTCAGCATTTACTCATGTTGTAAAGTTTGAGAATAAGAACATGGAAGAGCACAGGTGTCTTTGGGGGGGAAAGAAGAAGGTCAGTTTAATATTCATGAGATGGTCTATCTTCCCATAGGTCTTATTGACAAATAAGTCTTTTTTTCTAAAATCTTATTTAAAGAACAAGTAAGAATGTTCAAGCATTTTTTTCTGATGTGCTTCATTATTCTGGTAGATTTTAGTAAATGGCTAGTAAGTAGATTTAATTTTTATAAAATCAGCCTCAGAGTCAATGGGTATCTCATTTGGGTAATAACTCAGTAAACGTCGAAAGATACATCTACCTCAGTGTATGTGTTGAGCTCTGGGAACAGATGAGGTGTAATTACCATCCTCAAATTCTTCCAGAGCTATAGAAGAGAAAAATAGGTGCTGATTTAAATAAAATATTGGAAATATTAAAAATTGCATTTCTTGTTAGAAACTTTCGTTCTTTTAATTGAAAAGAGAATATTCTTGCTTGAGAAGCATACAATTATTTTGTAAGAACTTGTGACTCATTAGATTTTTATCCACACAGATTTTCTTAAAAAAATCCTTTACACGTTTCATAGATTCTTTATCTGCTCTATTTTATTGTTTATAGATAGACACAAAACATTTTTCTGAGTGTTTTAGCATGTGTCCTTTCTAGTATTGAACCTAATTATTCAACGGAAATAAGAATATGAAAAAGGAGTCTTTTTTCTTAGTTTATAAATCTGTTTTAACCAAAGGCTATTCAAGCAACAAGATTAGATAAAACATGTATACTTTTTATAGGGAAAGAGAAGAAATGACTCTAGAATAGTACCCAATTTATAATAAATCTAGGAAGAAAAACTTGAAAAATACTTCCTTCTCAAATTCTCTGGAGAAGAAAGATAATCTAGGAAGAAATGGAAAAAGGGAAAGATAAGAAATAAGAAGGGGAAGAAACCAACTTTTTGCAAAAACAACAATGGAAAGAAGAACAATAATCTCAGGATAAAATTTAGCTATTTGAAATTGAAAGTCTTGATGTAACACTTTTGAATATTTACAAAGCTCTGCACAAGTGTAGGCAGCACTTTCCTAGTTACTTATCTTTGAAAGGCCTTTTTTTCTCGAGCTTTTATTCAGTCAACCAGAAGACCCGACTCTACCCACATTACTCCAGTGCGCAGACGCTAAAGCTACTTTGGGCAGAAGAGGGGAAGTTGGAATTGCTATTGGAGGGAGAGAGAGATTCAAAAAACCAGTTACAGAATTCATAGTATCAATTCTAGTTTTATTCATGCAAGAAAATTATTGGTATGTGAGTTTTAATTTATCTTAGAATTTATTTTTTGATTTTTATTGTATCTTTTATCCACTATATTTTACCTTTTAAAAATGATAATTTTACCTTAAAAAGGACTTCAAATAAAAATATTTAAGTATTTTAATATTATATCTAAAATTTATCTAAGACACGTTTATTTATATGAGTGCAATATTTATATAAAATATATTTTATATGATTTGCTTATTTTATAAATACAGATAAAATATGTTTATATAAAATACACTTAAAATATTTTTCAAATCACTATTTTTTAAAAAACAACCACTTTATTTCTTTAAAAATTTGTTCTATTTTTATTTCAGGTTTTGCTTTGCTTTTATCTTTTATTCATTCCATTTCAGTCAAGAAAATAACAACATCCATGTAAATAATCACTTCTTTGAAATTACTTCTAAAAGTAAATCTTTTGGTGACCTTAATATGTTGTTTATTCTCTAGTTGGACTCTAGGCACTGGAATACTCAATACGTCATCATATTGGGCTTTCTGAGATGAATAGAAAAGGCCTTGGTGATCAGGTTTTTAAGACACATCCTCAAAGATCCATCTGCAATAATCTTAATGATGCCTGGTTAGAGATATTTCTATGTAGGAAGCTACTCTCAATCTGATGAGTTCCCTCCGTACATTCAACCTGAAGTAAGTTCACTTTTCACATGACCGCACTTTGCCCTTGCCTCAGCTGTTCAAACTGGGCCGGGTGTTCAGTGTATTTGCCCCATTCTCTCCTGTCAGATGTCAGCTCAGTTTGGGGACCCAGGACACTGGCAAGATGCCATTCTGTGCGTGTTGAGAAGAGGTCCTGGGTCTTCCATGTGAAGCTTTCTATCCTCAGTGGATGCTTCTTTTACAAAAATAATGTTTTAAAAAAGTGACAGAGGAGCTTAGTTTGAAGTTGGGAAAGTTTAGTTCCATAAACTGAAATGAAAGGATGTCATATCTGAGGAGGAAATTGGCCAGACAAAACAAATATCTTATATAGAATCACCTTTCTATTGATTCTAGCATCACTTTGCTTTTTCTTTATTTTGTTTTGGGGCCACACCTGGTGGTGTGATACTCTGGGTTATTTTGCGGCTGCACCTGGCAGTATTCAGGGGTTATTTCTGGCTCACACTGAGGAATTAGTCCTGGTGGACTTGGGGAGCCGTATGGAGTGTCAGAGATTGAGCCCAGGTTGGCTGTGTGCAAAGCAAACACCCTATCTGCTCTACTATGGCTCTAGTCCCTCTGAGACCTTTTTAAAATAAAATTTAAGAGGAATATAAGAAGGCTCAAGCATGACTTTTCTGTTCTTGTTCTCTTTTTATTTTTCTTGTCTTCCTGAACATTTATTAATTACTCGGGAAAAGTAATTTAGAAAATAAACTACAAGAATAAACAAACAAAAACTGGTTAGTTTTACATCATCCATGATGACATATTAACACATTTCTGAATTTGTTCCAAATCTTTTATCCTAAATAAAATGAAAATTTCCTGAATCCTTTGAGTACATACTACCACTGATTTCAATTCTAAATTCCTTCATTTTATGTACTTCATTGCATTTTTTAAATTTGTATAGAAAACTCAAGATGTGTATCTTTGGAATTTATGAAAAGCTGGAGAGGCATTTGCCTTGCATGTGGCAGACCTGGGTTCAATTCCCATATGGTCCCCTGAGCACTGCCAGGAGTAATTTCTGAGTACAGAGCCAGGAGTAACCCCGGAACATTTCTGGGTGTGACTCCAAAACAAAAAAAATAAACAGCAAAAAATATATTATATTTCTACTTACTGCCCAAAGTCTTTCACGTGATAAATATTATACCTAAAGGCAGGGCAGTGCCCAGAAATGATCCCTGAGCACAAAGCCAGGAATAATTCCTGCGTATCTCTGGGTTTGGCCCCAAAATAATCAAGCAAACAAACAAAACCAAAAAATTTTTAATATTAAAAGGTAGCAGACTCTTGTGTCATCAGGTCAAGTATAGTCCTCTGGGAAGAGCTTTTCTTGAAGTCCAGCTGCATACATGTTCCCTACAGGGAACATGGCTCTCAGAGAGAATTTTCTTGAGTTCCTTGGAAATGCATTTCAGTAAACCTTAGACCAGAGAAAAGCTTTGGTAGTTTCGTAGAGAGGCCAATTTATTTTTATTCTCATTTTTGAGTTGTCACTGCTGTAGATGTCTCCCTATAACTTTGTACAACTGGCAATGCTGAATGGAAACCAAAGCCATGTTTGCGTTCCGTTGCCAAAAGGCTCCAGCGAATAGTTCTATTATTCCCTTAGGTAGCCAACGTGTGCCAAGGATTTCTATTAGTCTCCATACCACGGCCTCTGAGTCAAGCTCTGTGACATTAGGAGCGATCACCAGCTTTATGTTTTAGGAATTGGCGTGTGTGTGTGTGTGTGAGTGTGTGTGTGTGTGTGTGTGTGTGAGTGTGTGTGTGTGTGTGTGTGAGTGTGTGTGTGAGGGGGCGAGAAGGAGGGGGTGGAAGTGGGTATTTTTGATATATCCTGTTTAAAGATAACGCGGTATGAGTAATAGCCCTAGTAGGCCTTGAATTTATTTTCTTGTTACTATTTTGATATGCACCTATGTAAAAATGTTAGCAAACAAGCTCCTTTCTATAAGAATGGATCATTTTCTTAGAGGTTCCCCCCGCCCCGCAAGATCAACCCAGTTTCTTACTTTTCCTTAATTCCTTTACTTCCAATTACTCAATGACAGTGATTTTAAGATAGCAATTTACTAGCTTTTATAAATATAATATAAATTTCTTAAATGAATTTCTAATACAGATGATTCAAATGGCATTTAATACTGAAGTCCTCTTTAAGGACAAAGATGTATGAAAAAAATAACATACCAATAAACATGAGAAGGGGCTTGTAGGTTTGAGGACTTTTCCTGGTATTTCTCAGTAATAAACTGACTGCTTCAAAACGCTCAAGTCAACACTAACAGATTTCTTTCCAAGCAAATTCAGAGGTAAAGCCCTATCAAGAAAGCCTTCAGATAAAACCTTTGAAGGGATGAATTTTCTTTCAATATTTCTAGTTTTTCAGTAAACATAGAATGTTGTCTTACCTCTCTCTTTCTCCAGGTACCTAGTAGGAAAACTCAGCTAGCCCTGATCACTCAGTGACTGATTATCTGTATACTTAGTAAGAAGTCCTGAAATTCATTCTATAAAGAGAAAAAATAAGAAGGAAAATAAATAAGCCATCATAAAAAATGAAATTTAAATTAAAAAATACAATTATACTTTTACCTGTAATTACTTTTGTTGAACAATGCTAGAAACAGAACTTAAAAGTTGACACTAAATATTAATGAGACATTGTTCAACATATTTTAAGGTGAGCAAACTTTATTTTGGTCTTTATTACTAAAATCACTATAGATACGCTTACATACCTATATAACTGTGTATGTGTATATTTCAATTTAGTGAGGACATTGAACAGGAGGAACTCTCAATCATTATGAATACTTCACTTTCAACTCTCAGAAAAAAAGTTCAGACAAGCTTTAGAATCTACCATACTTAAAGGTGGACAAGAAACAGATTCAAATTTATCTTTTTGTTATTTAGAGCTCTCTTTAATGAAGCTGTCACCGAAATGCTATCATGCTCCTTACCAATGTTTTAACCTGCTTTCCTAGAAAATGATTAACACCTGATTTACTTTGCACTTAGACTACAAAACACAGGATGATGTCACTTCTTATTTGGTCCCAGGAATGGGATCAAAATCTGTTTTTAAGCCATTTGGCCCTTGAGGAAAAAAAAAATATTTCAGAGTAATACACTCAGTACACAAGAAAATGGCTCTTCATACAAATGCCACTTACATCAATGAATATTTGAAATGTTTGTGAGTGGAGCTCTGTTACGTCAAACACGAGCCCCTTCACCCCCCAAACACACACACCTCCCCGCCAGAGAAGACTTCTGTTGTCCTTAACTTCCCCCTCTGCAAGTCATTAATGTGCCTGGCTTTGCAACCAGACAGTTCTGTATCTCTCACAAGCTTTGACCAGGCAGTAAGCAGCTGCTTCTTCCACTGAAGTCAGTAACTGAAGTTCTTGAGGGGAAAACAGGGATAAAACTCAAGTGATAGCACAGATTACTGCACATCATAGCAGAACTGAAAAGTGGGCCAGGAGCTAGGGAATTTTCTGTTTGTATTCAATTGCAAGGGAAAAAGAACACAAAACAACAAGAAAAAAAGGCTTTCTCTCCAAGTGTGTTCAGCTTTTTCTACTTCACTGCTAGTTCAAAAGGACTTCTGAAGCTTCCCACCTGCCTGGCCTCCTTTGTCTGCCGGACTCCAACCTAAAACAAAAGATCCTGGAAAACTGTTACACTGGTGAGCAAAGCTCTTTCTAAATCCTGAAAGTAATGGCTTTTTGTCTAATGCCCTATCGTGTTATGTATTTATTAGCAATACATTTTCCATTTATTTTCTCAAAGATTGCCAATAAAGAACGGAATCACATAAGGGAGTCGCTGTAAACCCTCTGAGTTCCCTAATGTCAAACTCATTAGCATCCGAATAAGCGCACAGCAGCACATCATCTGCACAATTGCAATTTTTTACTACTTTTAATAGTGTTTCTCAAAGGGCTCATTTTCAACTTTCTTCAGTGGTTAGTTGGTTCTCAGGGGAAAAGTAGCTTCCTGACGCTTCAGCTTCCACTCAACAGCCCGGCCGTTTGCTGTCAGATGCGTCAGCCCTCTGCCTAACCCCATCTGCGATCTTCCTCCTCCCCAGGGAAGGGAGTGAAGGCAGCACAGCTGAGATTGACTTGGAGAAGTGCACAGGGACGCCGACAAAATAGAAGTTTAGCAAAATGACTGGACACAAAGAGCTTGTGAAGTCCAAGGGCATCAAAATAAATGGGGAAGATGATCACTTCTCAGGTTGGTTTTGACTATTAAGAACTATGTTATTGATGTTCGACTGTTAATGTTCGACTATTCATAACTCCACCTACTAGTTCTTTGGAAACACATTCTTAGTTGATTCCAACAGGGATCTTCAACGTTCTTTGCACGGGCACCATTATTTTATCAAGGCTGGGCCTTGAAAATCCCCTTTATTACCATACTGAAATCTCTTCTGAGCTCAAATCACTCTTATAAAATGTAAGGTCTGAACTAAAATATTTATAGAAAAGACACACACTTGGGGCGACAATTAATCAAAGACCTGAAATCCTGACCCTCTGCCCACAACTTACAAGAGTGAACTCTAACCCCATCGATCAGACGAGCATTTCTGCCATGAAGCTTCAGTCTTCAAGCTCTAAAAAACTTGATATCACAAACTTAGAAATTGAAAAACGAAATTTGGAAATAGGATTTTATAGAGCTTCATTCCATACAAGCACTTCTTTTATCTTTCTTGTTTTCATAACCGTGGGCTGGAGCTACAGCACAGTGGGTAAGGACGTTTGCCTTGCATGTGGCTGACCTGGGGTCGATTCCTTCGCCCCTCTCCAAGAGCCCAGCAAGCTACCAAGAGTATCTCGCCTGCACAGCAAAGCCTGGCAAGCTCCCCAGGACGTATTCGATATGCCAAACACAGTAACAACAAATCTCACAATGGAGATGTTACTGGGCCCGCTTGAGCAAATCGATGAACAACGGGAGGACAGGACAGTGACAGTGAATCTTTATTTGGGTGTTGAAGTGTGAGCCATACCCTGCAATGCTCAGGTGGCATTCCTGGCCTTGGGTTCCAGGGTGACCCCTGTCGGTGCTCAGGGGACCGGAGGTGGTGCTGCGGTCAGCTGCTCTTCAGGCAAGTGCCTGACCCCGGTATTATCTCTCAGAATAGTAATCTCAAAAGATAAAACTATAAAACAACCAAGGTGTTAGTAACCTAATGGGCTATATAATCCTTAAGTATGCTTTCTAATTAAGATATGGCTTTACTTGTTAAATGGAGTCATTACAAAGTACAGCAGTTGTCTACTACATGCCAATAATTAGAAACTCTCAGTTCTTTATAGCTACTTCATGGATGAGTACCTGCTTCTGAAAAAGAGGATTCTTTAAGCCTCTGATATAACAAACCTGTCATTTAAAAAGGAGTAGGTTGGATTTAATTTTGTCAAGGGTAGGTGAATGATCTAGAATAAAAAGTAGTATGTCCATCACATCCTTACAACAGAGAGAACCATAGATTTATACTTCGATATTTTTTTTCTTTCTGCATCACAGCCTGTGATATGCAGGGGTTCCTCCTGGCTCTACACTCATGAATCACTCTTGATGGTGCTTGGGGACCATGTGGGATGCTGGGGATAGTACCCAGGTGAGCTTCATGCAAGGCAAGTGTACAAACCTCTGTGCTATCGCTACAGCCCCAATATACCTATATTTCAAAAGGAAACTATTAATTTTTTATCCAAACTCAATGTGAAAACTCAGTAAAATGGCAAATAAATTTAAATATAGCACTTGAAGCACTAGAGTATAAGTGAGGTTACCACAATCACCAATTTCTTTTTAAATTTGTCCGCCTATAAAAACTGCCTGCTTTTATCTGAGTCAGTATGAAAAAGCATAGCAAGGCCCTCTCAGGGGTTATAAACGTTCACGTGTGCTCCAAAGACTATTCTTAGCTCTACTTTCTTAGCAAGTAAAATAAAATCACAAGAACGCAAGCAGGTTTATGTTGGTGTTGATGAGGCTCTGATCCCACAACTTCTGGTTTTAATCTCTTAATCACACTTCTATCTCTACCAATTTTTCATTAGTTGGGATGATAAAGATATTTATTTTTTATGATTTACGTATTATTTTAAATTATAAATCAGTTTTCCAGTTTTACGTTCCCAGGTTTAGTTTATAGTCAATAGTAAGATGATAAAAGTTAAAGCCAAATTTCACATAAACCTAGATAATATCTTGCCTAAAAGAAAAAAATCCAATTCTTCAGCTTTCTATTTGCCATGAAGTTCCGTTAAATTTCTAAAGAAAATTCAAACCTGGTGTTTTAGAATTTTCAATCAGTGAATTATAGAATGGGTCACTTTCTACAATAGCAATACATTGCATATTTAGAAATTATTGCCTAGAAATGATGCAAACTAATTGACACTTTATGCTGTCACAGATGATTTTTTTTCCTATTTCTCTCTTCAGGTTGCTATTAGGGGGTATGATTTCTTGACAGGTGCAAATAAAAAGATGTTGTGTGTGAGTAAGCCTGCTTTATTTTTATTTCTTTATTTGGGTACAAGGGGTTTGGGTCACACCTGGCTGTGTTCGGGGCTTGTTCCTGGATTTGTGCTCTGGGACGACTCTTGCTGAAGCTTGGGAGACCGCGTGGAATTGAACCTAGGTTGGCTAAACAGAGGAAGGTAAGGTAAAGGTAAAGGCCCTCCCGTTGATCGTCGATTTGCTCGAGCGGGCCCAGTAACGTCTCCATTGGAGACTTTGTTGTTACTGTGTCTGGCATATCGAATACTCTCGGTAGCTTGCCGGGCTCTCTGAAGAGCAAGGCAAGTATCTGATTGTTGCACTATCTCTCTGGTCCCCCAGGGACGTTTTTTTAGGTAAAGACAAATGCTTGTTTATTAGGCACGTGCTTTCCTCTAACTATCAGCTCATAACTAAGCCCCTGATTACAGGAGGAGTCAATTTGAAAAGACCCATTAACATGAGAATTACCCTACAGGAAAAGTAACAACCCTTACCAAATAGGTCAGGGCTATCACCTACTCTTAAGGGGGATGTTTTAGATTTTAAATAAGTACATAATCAAGAAGAGTAATTCTTTGATGTGAGGAGTCAGAGTGCCTGTCCTGATCATTAAGTCAGTTTTTGCTTCTGAGTGATCAATGACATTAAACTTATAAACAAAACTTCACGTTTTTCAATTAAGACTCATATTATTGTTATTTTAGAAGAAAAACAAGGTTTGTCAAGCAGCACACAAAATTTCCACGGAAGGATTTTTTTGATCTTCACTGGTTTGACTAGCTTTTTTGAAATCTCTGCCCCATAAAATCTTGCAGAGAATTGTAAGAACAAGGAGTTCTAGAGCAAATCTGATCTCCCAAATGCGCTATTTTTGCTTTACGAACCACTGAAGCCATAGAAAACATCAAGATCACTTTGGCTTTCCACTGTGATCAATATAATTGTACTAGCAGGCACTGTTGTGTTTCT